GGCGGGCGACCGGCGTCCGAGCCCCGCGGCCGGCGTTTCCCTCTCCGGCCGGGGGCGGCGGGGCCGGGAGGGGACACGGGCGCCCCGGGCCCTTGGCATCCCGCGCGGGCTGTCTCGGTGCCCCGAGCGGACTGTTGGGGTCGAGGTCAAGGAAAGTTCGCACCGAAATTCCCTCTAATTTATTCAAAGGGTTGGCGGTGGCGGCGCGTAGTTCTTTTTCCCTCTTCCGCCTACACCCGCGCCTGCGTCTCCCAGTGTCGGCTCGTTCCTTTCCCTTTACCGGATTCGATGGGCTCACTGCGTGTGATTTCGTGAGTTCGCGTGGAACAACTGTTTCTTTGCTCGGCACCCTGCCTTTGTTAGTGTTGCTCGGGGTTGTTTGTGGTGGTGGGTGTGAAAGAGACGGACGTGGGCTTGTTTTTCTAGTCGCTGACTATCTGAAGATTTAGGGCTCCTTGCTGATCTTTGGGGAGGGAGGAGGAACAAATGCCTGCCAGGTCTCACACCTACAGTAGCTTTTGTTTATTCAGGCACATGCGATTTAAAAAAGAAAAGAAAAGCACCGTGCAAGATAATCAGTAAGGAGCTTTCCTTCTGAAAATCCAGGCCTGTCTCAGAACCGTCTCCAGAGAAAGCATCGTTTTTTGTGAGTGCTGTGACAGCCTGCCTTTTTCTTTCTACTGTGTGTGTCCATTGTGGCTGAAGTTTCAAAGTAAGGGATGATGCAGAAGTTGCGTGATTGCTGTTGTGGCTTCCAGGGACGACGCGCTCAGCGGTGAGATGACAGGAGGGCCTTATTTCAGGACGTCTCTATCCAGAGGCTCTAATTGCTTGTCGTGGGTAACTCGCCCACACCTCAGCAACACAATAAGAAAACTGTTCCCTGCCCGGGTTCATTTTTCATCTTGCTTATAATTACCCCTTTAAATTGTATTGGAGGCAGGTGAGCTAGCTGTACCGGAACCATTATTTAAAAATAAACCAGGCAGCACCGGTGTTGCCTGGCCCAGCATTTTCAATTGGTGTAAATATTTTCGAATCAGCTTTACTCCGATGTAGGTACCAGGCCTAAATACGCCATACTGATTAAAGTGTTTGTCCTCTCTCCATCCCTCGTTCCCATTTGCAGTTACTTGATATTTCTGTGCAGGTGGTGTATCATTTGTGTAATACAGCAAGTCTTGGGAAGCTGTAGGCGGGGTCCTGAGACGATTTTCTGGAGGTGGGTGATGCCAGAGGCTCCCGTAGACCCAGACAGGATCAAGTTTCTTCTGAGGGTAGGGATTTGTCCTTGATTTAGTTTTGACCCCTGCAACCATAGGCATGTAACCAAACACATTTTTCCTTTTGCAGTGACCTTTGGTTTTAATCTCTTGAAGAGTTGATCGCCTTTGCATTTTTTAAGGCAATTACAAGTGTTGACTTCTTACACTTTGTGGAATAGAAGTTTTTTTTTTTTTTTTCTTCAGCCAAAATCATTAAAGCAGTAAGAAGAAGTAATTCTCACTTTCTCAGCTGCAGTTATTATTTGAAAACTATATTTTGGTGTGGAGTTTTGATTTCTAGCAATTTTGCGTTTAAGATGAAATATAACTGAGTAGATTAGAAGAAAAATCAACCTGAGAGTAATTAGCCGAATGTATTTAAGCTGCAGTCGTCTACATAATCAAGGCCAAGTTGTGTGTGTATAAAAGGTCTCATTTGTGAGTCTCCCAAGGCTAATGGAGGCATCGCTGAGGCCTTATAAATAATGTAAGTTGTATATAATGTAGAGTCTCCAGAGACGGCAGAGAAAGCATCATTACCAGCCTTTTCAACCTGCTTGAGATCTTAAATTGATTTACAGCACTGAACTGGTGCAAAATGATACATCAGGATGACATGGGATCAGCCTGTAAAAGTCTATGATGTCAGCCTATTAGTTCAGCCATCATAATTAAACCATAATACAGGGGCAGCTAAGCAGGAGTCTGGCGTTATACTTCAGATATGGGTGGTACATGGACTTTGTGATAGTGGAATGGCTGAGGTGGCAAAGAACACTAGTGTTTCTGCAAGAGGGGCAACTACAGAATTATGAATTTCTTGGGGAAGAAGTGGAAGACAAATGCAGGCATGTTCATTCTTGATTGAATAAGTAGCTTTCCATTTGTTGGTGTGGAGCCAGATCCATTGGCAGTGCTGATAAGGGCCTTTGCAGTTCTGATCTGTGTATTGAATCCTGCTTCATGTGAGCTTGAATTTAATTTGGCCTTGGGGACCTTTAAAATACCAGAGGACCACCTACTTTATCACTGATCCTGTTACTAGCATTGAGTTTGTGCTGTATTGATGTATGAAGTGACATGTTATTTCTTTCACTGATATAGGTACTAGCCTCCACTGAAAACAAACATATTCAAATTGAACTTAAGAGCAAATCAGGAAAAGAAAACCCTGTTTCTGCTTAAATTTCTATAATCTTTATTTAATTTAGGGATCATTTACAGTGTGTTGCCCAGTGAGGTAGCCATAACTACATCTATTTGTTCAAATTGAAATAAAACTTAAAAATTCATCTTCTCAGTGCCATCTGAATTTCAGTAGCATAGTGGCTACCATATTGGATTATGTGTGCAGTAGAGTTCAACGTCAGAAAGATTTGCAAGACCGGCGGTGGCGAACATGCCACGTGTGTGCCACAGTGAGCTCTGTGTCATTGAAAGCTCAAAGGTTCACCATCGTTGTCCTGGGCTGTGCCACCCCAGGACCTTTGCCTCTTTTTTTCACGAGTTCCTTCTGTTAATGCGTTGTTTGTAGGATCAAAGAGAGGAATACTATGCATAGCAGTTAACTTTACTACTAACTACTAATTACCTGTTTCTGTTAAAGCAGGCAATTTGGAAGTTAAGGTTAAAGCTACTATATAAAATGAGATTGACTTTTCTGTAGATACTTATTATTAATGCCATGGATTGTAATTGGACTGAGATCATTGGACAGGAGAGATAGCTCTGGTAATTTTGTCTGAGTTTTCATTGTATGCAAAGCATTATTTATAATAGTTACAATCTCATGCAAGCCTCAGAACGTCTCTATGGGCTGTTGTTAGCACATTTTACAGGAAAAGAAACTGAGGCTAGGGATTCAGTGTCTTGCC